CAGCCAAAGTCCCCAGACCCTGTGGAGAATGGGCCTGGGTTTTATATTGGGGGGGGCAGAGAAAGAGAGAAGGCAGAGGACAGAAGAGAAGCCCCAGCCACAACCCGCCCGGCCGATCTCTTTCACTGGGGTCCCAAGGTCTCTTTGCTGGAGGGGAGGGAGAGGAAGGAGAGGGAGGGGGAAGCTGCAAAGCTGGGCCCAGGATGAGTTACCTTTGCCTAACGCCGAGGAGACGCATCCAAGCCCCGCGCCGTGTGGCCACACTGTCAGATTATGATACCCAACATCTTCCCGAGCGTCAGATCGCTGTCTCTTACATTTAAAGCTGACATCACATGAAGTCACTTAGAGCAGAACGACATGGGATTTTGGCCACCATCGGGAGAGGGGAGAGAGGGGAGGGGGAGGGAGAGTGAGTGAGAGTGAGTGTGTTTCTTTTCTCAGCCAAACGTTCAGTGCAGATCTGGACTGACGGGAGTGGGGTGGGAGGGGGGCCCTCCCTCCTTCCCAGTTTTAGGCACACCCTTGATTTCTTGAGCGCGACAGCCTTTCTAAGGAGAAGAAGGATGGGAGATTGGCGGGCGGGCGCGTTTGTGCAGGGAGGGCTAGGGAGCAACTTGCAAAAGCGGAGTCGTTTTGCATGTGGCAAATTAAGAAAGGACGTGAGATTCACACGTTGGGTGCAAAGCGAAGAGTGCCGTTAGAAAAGCCATCGAAAAGCAAAGAGAGGAGTTCGTATTTATTTTAACAAAGAGGGAAAACGGGTGGGAGGCTGGGTGGGAAAGAATAGGAGAAAACTTTTTTTAAAAAAAACACAGGATCATTCAGATTTCTTGCCGCCCCCTCCTTCAATGTAGGCATCCCACCCTCAATCAGATCCCTTGCAAAAGCGAGCCGGGGAGATCAAGGGGCCATTTATGAAAGATCAGACCGTCTCCCCGCCCTCTTCCCCGACAGCGCGGCTAAATGAATAGCGGGTCCCTGAATTAGATCCTGCCGACGTTAATACGAATTAAATTTAGGCGGATGCTGGCGCCTAAAACACGGCGCCTCTCGCGATCGTCTATCAGCCGTTTGCCGAAAGGCGAACAGATCCAGATCCAACCCACAAACAAACAAACCAAACGAAAATCTTTGGGTCGTGAACGGTGATGGGGGATCGGGAGATCTGGACAACCCTCCCTGCTTTGTAAGGCATTCGATTTCTGGTCGTCTTCAGCCGGTCGTCTTCTCCCTTTCTCTCTCCCAAATTCCTTTTGTCTTGTTTTGTTTAAAATAGCGGTTAATTATAAATGTTTTTTTCTGCGATGAATGTGTGAAATTACGGTCAAACCTGGGGACCAAAGGCCAGAAGCCTGAAGTTTGACTGGGAGACGGAGTTTTTATAGAAATGGAGCTGGATGGGGAGGAGACATTTCCAGCTCCCATCTGAGTTTTTAAATTTTTTTTTATTTTTTTGCGGGAGGCAGCACAGGCTGCAACGCCTCGGGCCGAAACTCAAAACTACCGGCTGCTCTTCTTGTAGTTAGTTATTCATCCTGCCCCATCCCCCCCCGCCCCAGCGACCAGGACCTGATAGCTCCTCTTCAGCCTCCTTCAATGAGAGAGGCACTATAGCGCTGCGTGGCACCTGGTTTTGTCTCTTGCCTACAGTAAAAAGGGAAGGATTCTTTGGAAAGCAGGGAAGAGGGAGAAGGGGAGCTGAGAGAGTCGGCAAAGGGATGGCATGAAAAGCGTCTCCCTCTCCTGCTTTTCAGTCCTTGGGGGGGGGGGAACCCAAAACAAACTGTGCGCGCAACTTCGGAGGAATTCCTCCTCCCCTTTGCCCGGCGCTGACAAAAGGCCACAGAGCGCGCAGCCGCCCTCGCTGTTTTGGGGGGGGGGGGTTTGCAGACCCGCCACTTCACCTGCGAGGCGCAACCTTAACCCCCCCCCCCGAAGAAGTTATCTCTGGTTATCTCTGAGCTCCCTTTCATGTTTCTAGTCCGTATGGAGTGCGAGGAGAAGGCTACCGAATTTGTGGAACTGGGGGGCCAAACGTGGGGGGAGGAGGGGAGGAAAGGGGTAAAAGAGAATCGGGACAAGGAGTGCGGCGGTTACGCGGCTCGAGACCCAGGCTGTGTGTCTTTGCGGTGCGTGCCTTTGGTCTCATGGTCCCACAGATCTTCTCCTTTTTATATAGCCGGTTTATGTTCACGCGCGAAGGCGGCTGGAAGCTTGGCAAAGATCAAACTGGTATAATTTCCCGGGCTTCGGCGAGTCCGTTCCACCTTTGCTTCCTTTGCGGGTGTTCCATCTAGTCAACACTCATGACACGGGTCACCCCTAAAAGCAACCCCTCCGACCTAATTTTGCGCTCTGGTTACCTTTGAGCCCCCTTTCATGTTTCTAGTCCGTATGGAGTGCGATGATTCCCTCGGTCCCTTTTTCAGGTGCCCGTGAATGCAAAGCTGGGAATCGGGACAAGCGGCTTGGTCTCCCACCCAGTCCCCGCTGAGGCATGGGTAGGCCCTTCCTCAAAAGGTAGAAGGTACAGTATATCCTTTTTAGAAAAAGCGAATAGAACTGGGCAGGAGTTTCCATTAAAAACAAAACAAAACGAACCGGTTAATTTATCTCTAGATTTGGTGCCCTCTCAATGTTGTCACTCCGGAGCAACGCCCCTGCTCTTTCACCCTAGTTACAGACTATGCTTCAAAAGTGGAGTGGGTGTCATCTCTTCAGGTGGCCCTCGACCACTCTCAACCGGGCATCAACCTCCAACAACAAAACTATAGACCCCCATTAAGGCACAGTTCTAGCCCTGAATATGATCGCTCCTGGAGCAAGGTTGAATCCACGGCCCCCTACTTCAGATCCCGCGCGTCCAGCCCGGACCTCAAAGCACTTCTGCGGACGTGGCCGGCGGGACCCGCTCGCCCCCCCCCCCCCCCGGGTGCCGTGCAAAGGCTGGGCTCAGGGACGGGGCGAAGCTCTTCGCCGGGGCTTCTAAGGCGGAAGAGTCGAAGCCGAGGCCGCGTGCGAGAGGCATCCGATTCGTTTCTGGAAGGAAAAGGCTGTCCACAGAAGAGAAACGGCGGTGGCAGGAGTGGCGGGGCGGAGATGTGGGGCCAAGAGAGCTTTTTTTCAGCGGTGTTATCCCGACAGCAGTGCAGGACAAAAGTCTAAGGCGTCCACACGAGACAACGAGCAAAGGGGGCCCCGAAACACGGCACGATTGGCTTGCTACCTTTGAATACAAGTGAAGAAATCCATATATTTTATAAACAGAGCTGCCACTCTTCCACCACCACCCCACCCTCGCGCCTTTATTTTAATAGTGCCCCGTCGAATGGATTATGGATTAGGAAGGCTAGGCAAATCTACCTTTTCTTATTAAAACACACACACACACACAACGCTTCTGACGAAAAGGTGTAGATCGGGGTCTGTCTATAGGGTAGCCTTTTTTCCAAGGGTTTCTAACACCCGATATTTTGCCAATGGAAACACTGTAATAACCCTGCCGCCCTTCTTCTGAAGTTATGCCGCAATAAAGAAGGCTTGAGTGGGGGAGGATTAAGCCGAGCTAGAAGACGAGGAAGCAGAAGCTGAATCCCGCCCTCCCAAAACCCATCCCTGGGGTCGGAGGGGGACTCTCGGTGTTGAAGGGCCGGGCTTTTGCAGCCGGCTCTGGCGGGATGGATTTTGGTTCAGCGCTCTTTTTAAAACCGGCTTCCGAAGCGCCGAGTTTGCCTCCCTCTCCGTGTCCGAGGCTCTTTAGCGGTAGGACAGGGTGGAGGGGGGGGGGCTTAAGCATCCGTCGCGCCACCAAGGCAGGAGAAGTCCGTGAGCCCCAAAGAAGCGAAATTTAGCAGGTCTGAGTTTTCGGGTTTTTTTATTTTTAAACAAATAAAGGGGTGCTCGTTACTAC